AACTTTTTGAGACTTTCATATATTCTAAGCTTGCTCCAAATTCACCAGGTATTTGAGGATGACCTTAAACTTCTGTTCTTCTTTTCTCACCTTTTGAATTCTGGATCCCAGACAAATATCAACACACCTGTTAATGTCGTGTTGGATATTGAAGTCGGGGTTTTGTGTACACTACACAAGTACTTTACCAACCAAGCCCATATTCGCTTTTCTAGGGATTCAAAGAGTAAGTTTTCTACTGCTAATAGAAAACCTGTAGACACTATGCAAAGTCATCTGAGGGACTTAGAATTATGATCCCTTATTCAAGTGGTCTACACTCACGTTTACAAACACAACCAGACACAAAATAAAATGTAAGCTGGACTTTTCTGGGTGAGCGCTTCCCAGTGGTTAATCTTAGAACAACCATAACTCCAGAAACATATGGTCTAGGAAAAAGAGCAAGAAAAATAATTTATATCAATATACATTGAATGAAATCTGCTAGTCATCTAAGCATATGCATGCATGCATATACCACAAACATTCTTAAATACTTCAAATGCCAGAAACTAACTTGCCAACCAATCTTACTTCATTATCTCATTCATCATGAACTGGTTGTATTAAGGGTCTCTGTAGGCCGGGCATGGTGGCACATGCTTGTAATCTCAGCATTAGAAAAACAGAGGCAGGCTAGTCTTTGTGAGTTGGAGGTCAGCCTGGTCTATATAAAGAGATCATTCTAAGAAACAAACAAAACAGTATCTGTATACTATATTTTCCACATGTCAGGAATAATATGCAACATACAACATTCTAATGAAAAACAAATAAGTTTATGCAAAAGGATTAAACTTGTCACTTTATTTCAAATTTTTCACATGATTATTCTTATTTCATACTTATATAGTTTTATAAGTATATAATAATAATATCAAAATCGCCCTCAAAAATACTATATACAGAAAGAGAAATTTCAAAAATAGAAAATTTGGGGAATATTAACAATTCCAAAAATATTGTTGCATATAGCATCTCTCAAGTTTTTCACAACAGTAATAACAATTATCATTATTATCACTACTGCTCAATTGTTCCAACTCCCAAGAATAGAAGTTGTGTTTTTGGAGTCATGCAAAAGTACTCCAATAGCTGGAACAGAGATACCCTGCGTGGGTAGATAAAGCTGTTTCTAGAAGTCATAGCCTATTCAATGAAAATCCCAATGTCATGGGTGGGCTACCTCCATATAAGTTGTTAGTGAGGAAGCAAAACAGGCAATCGCTACTTCTGTTGGATTTCAAACTAGTCAAAGTGGTAATGATGCTTGACTATTGTCAATATGTCAAAATTTATTATCAATAAATTATGGCTAATGCTCAGCCATAAGTGGGAAATCTATATTACCTCCAAGGTTTAGGGAACATTAAGGAAGAACAAGGAAAAAAATCTAAGGCCAGAGGAAGGGTTAAAAATTGTTGCTCAAGCTGACTTCCTTCCAGGCACGACAAAGCTGTTGTACTCTTGAGCTCATGGTAGCTGCAATTAACTGGGCCTGCCAACATTCTATCTTGGTTGGAAAGGGCCTTGGGGGATGGTGCTTTCCTCTTCCTGAGGATTTATATGTAGTTATGGTTGATGGGGAAAGGAGCAACATGGTCTTCAACGCTGTCACCATTGGTAAGACCATATGCCTATACACAATCCCTCACCCGTGTTCCTGTAAGCAATCCTAATAAAATCTGATCATCTAGGAAGAAAGGAAGGAAAGAAAGAAGGAGGGAGGGAGGGAGGGAGGGAGGGAGGGAGGGAAGGAAGGAAGGAAGGAAGGAAATGCTGGCAACATTTCGGTTTCATATTAAAGTTATTATCAATGCTAAAACAGAAAAAATATCAAACAGACATCAAAGGATCATATGTCCTACATTTCAGACAAGATCAGGCGCGTTCAGGGAGGTATGGCCGTGGACTANAAGGGAAGGGAAGGGAAGGGAAGGGAAGGGAAGGGAAGGGAAGGGAAGGGAAGGGAAGGGAAGGGAAGGGAAGGGAAGGGAAGGGAAGGGAAGTAGAGGGAGGAAAGGAAGGGAGAGAGGAGGGGAGGGAAGGGTGGTGTGGGAGGTCCTTCTGTATATGTGCTGCTTTTATTGGTTAATGAATAAAGAAACTGCTGAGGTAGGAATCGTGGAAGAGGTGCACACTAGGAAACTATGCTTCATGCAGAGAATCCAGACCTGCAGTCACACAGAAGAACCCCCAATAAAGGTTCGAAGCTAGTTGGGCAAGTGGTGGATAAGATCTGCAACAAGAGGAGAAACTATGGTGTTGTGGTATGAGGAGCAACAGGTGGCATAAGCCCAGTCAGTGCACACGCCGTTCTAAGTGAAGGAGTCCCATCTTTTACAGAACTCAGTGTCATTACTGTCTTCTGAATCCTCCATATCTCAGGGTTTACTGTATTATATCTGTGTATAGCACTGATAAAATGCACATCCAATTAACACAGGGAAGCAATAATCATAATAGCAATGGTAATGATATTTGCAACTATTGGCATGCAATACTCTGTTCTCAACATATTGTTCATTATGGAATAAAAGTAAGTGTGTATATAAGAAAAGAAAGGGGAAGAGGACAGGAAAGTAGAAGGGACTAAGGGAGAAGAAAGAAGATGAACAGGAGTGGAAGAACTAGACGGAGTAATGGGGAACAAATATGGCTGTGAACACTATGTACATGCATAAATTATCACGATGAAACACATTGCTATGTACTACCAATATACGTTAATAAAATTTAAGTCTACGATACAATGAAAGCAATTGTTGGTAAAGTAACTAATTAAGAATTAGTTACATGTTTCATTGCTGCAACGAAACACAAGATAAAGAGGGAAGGGTGTAGCTCGCCTTAGAACTCAGTCCATCCTGACATGGAAGTTTTGGTGGCAGGAACAGGAGGCAGCTGGACACGTTGCACCCATATTCAGAGAGCAGGAATCAAGGACTGATGATACTCGGTTTGCTTTTTCCTTTCAGTTCTGTCCAGCAATGAGAGGGGTCCTCCCATCTCAACCAATCTAAGTAGAAAATCTCCCGTGTATATGCCCAGACACTTGGCTCCCTGAGGATGCTAGATCTTGTTGCCTTGACAATCAACATAGCCTGGAACAGGTATTTAACATCATGCTCCAAAAGGGAACATGGAAGAGTAACAGCATCAGTAAAGTCAGCTTTCAGTTTCCACACCAGACCACACAAAAAGAACATTTAATGTTCTGGACGGCATCTTTTGGGTGGCTTCTCATCCTGTTGTCCAAGTCATATATTCATATAGGAGAAAGGAAGTGCAAACTCACTATATTCTGTGATGTTTATCCTCTGTCCAGTTAGGTTTCTTTTACATAAATTCAATATTTTAAAACATGTTTCAGCTTTACTTTCACAAAATTAAAAGAATAGATACCACACAGTATGCATGAATTTTTCTCTTGATAAAATAGATCTAACATCAGAATGGAGTATCTTTGGACACCACAAATAGTTCCCATTAACCTTTCAAAACTACTGGGTATATGTGCAAATATCTACCCAGAAAAGCCCATGTTTGACTGTACTGTGCGTATGAAGTAGGCGTTAATCAGATTGGGAGACGCAGTGTGTACCGCCGACTCCCACATTCACAAAGCAAACTTTGCTCTACAATCTGGTTGGGACTGGGCAATAACCTAAGAAACTGATGGGAGTTTTAATATTCTCGGGGCTTGTGGTTGGCAGAATAACTGAAGGAAGAGCAGGGCATCCCATTGTCTGTGCTTCCGTTGCCCTCTAGCGGTTCCTTTGAAGGTAGCTCTAACAGCTGCACCTCCAGATCCCAGGGTGTAGTTCTCAAGGTCAGGAGACAGTGGCACAGTAGTGCCGGGGAACTTCAGAGAGATGTTCAAGGCTCACCTTACTCTCTGACACTGACACCATCAGTCTGCTTTAGTGGCTGCCCAGGTAATTGTGTGCACAGACTCATACTAACAAGTCCAATACAACATGCACACACAAAACATACCACACGCACAAATACAAATCACAAGCACAAATACAAATTTAAAAAAAAAAAAACTAGCTAGAACATGTAGTTTTGATGGCTTTAAGGCCCAAGTATCAGAATGTTCTGTGACCCCAGATGCTCAGAAGAAAGAGGAAAATCTTGGAAATGAGAAAGTCACTCCATATACTAACTGTGCTTGTGTCTCTGGCTAATTCTGAATTATATATATGAAGGACATACTTCAAGCAACCCACCTAAGGATAAAAATTACTTAATGTTCAAAATTTAAAAATCAAGTAAGCGCCTATCAAAAGGAATATAAAACTACTCTGAGAAACAAACAGAATCAAGAGAGTCTGGTATTTGGGGCAGCCAAAATGGCTCAGCAGGTAAAGACGCAAGCATGACTGCCCACGTTCCCTCCCCTGGACCCACGTGATGGAAGGAGAGAACCCATGTCCACAAGTTATCCTCCAATCCCACACACATATCCCGCCTCCACAGACACACATAAAACAAATAAGTATAATTAAGATTTTTAAAATAAAGAGTCTGATAGAAATTATTTATAAAGATGAAACACAATTCAAAATTAGTGTAAGTACAAGGAAACAAAAATGTGTCCCAGACCCAAGGAGAACTGCAACAAATGGAGACTAATCCCAGAATAACCTGAATATTAGAATTACCATGTAAAAATTACAAAGCAGCTATTGGAATCACAATCAAAGATAATAAGGAAAATATGCTTATGGTGAATAAAATTATATAAAATGTTAGCATTCAGAAGTCATGAGGATCCCAGAACATAGCAATGCAATATATGAATTTTAATTAATGGAATCAACTCAACAGAAAATTGAAGGAAGAAAAAATGTTAATAAACTATAGACAATCCAATCAGAGGAACAAAGAAAGAAATTGGGAAAAATAAGCTTCATAGATGTGTAGGATACTAATAATAATGCTAGCATAACTTGTAACAGAGTTCAGAAACAAAGAAAAATGGAAATAATAGCCAGAGGCTTGCTAATTTGGTAAAAACTAAAATGTACATTTTCTAGAAACTTGAAGAAAGCAGGCTGAGATCCATATAAGGAAGAAACCACGCTCATTGGCACGGCTGTCGTACTAGTGCAGAACAAACCACCCTCACTGACACAATGGTCAGGAGAGTACAGAACAAGAGCAATGGTAAAAACAACCTCAGAAAGTATCAACAAATGACAACACATTACACAGAGGAATGCGATTTGAATGATCACCAAGTCTTCCCAGAAAACATGGAGGCCAGAAAAGAGTGGTATTATTACTTACTAATGAAATAAGTGCTTAAAGGTGAAAAATATCCTACCAATCCAAAATTCTGTATCTGGAAATTTTTTTCTAAAGAAAGAAAAGAAAATCACACACAATTTAGGCTTGACAGTAGGCAACGGCAATCCCAGCACCCACAAGCTAAGCAGGGGGATCATGAGTTCAAAGCCAGTCTAGGTTATGCAGAGAGAGAGCTTATAAATATGTTTTCTATATATGATTCAGAGATGCGTAAGATAATATCCACAGGGATAACATATATGTGTATGTATGTGTGTGCGTTATGTGTGTGTGTATGAATGTACAAGAATGAAGGAAAAAATAAAAACATTATCAGATAGAGGGATAAAAAAGAGCTAGTTTCAGGATAGGCTCCAAAGCTACAAAGAAACCCTGTCTCGAAAAACAGAAGGAAGGAAGGAAGGAAGGAAGGAAGGAAGGAAGGAAGGAAGGAAGGAAGGAAAAAAGAAAGAAAGAAAGAAAGAAAGAAAGAAAGAAAGAAAGAAAGAAAGAAAGAAAGAAACTTATCACCAATGAACATAGACCATGAAAATGATACAAAAGTATATAGGTTATACACAAACATTATGTCGCCAGGAATGAATAAAGAAACCATTTTAAAGATTTTTTTATTTCTGCATATGTATGAATATTTGTCTGAATGTATGTACATACATTATCAGACAGAAAGGAAGTACCACAATACTCAGGACTTTAGAAACCATTGAAATGGCTGGGGGTGTGACTCAGTGGTGAAATACTAGTGTAGCGTGTACAAGGCTCTGGGCTTAATCCTCAGCAGCATAAAGAAGAAATATTTTAAATAAGAAAATATTATTATGCTCTCACTTACCATGTACCATAACTCACTTAAAGTCGAAGGTGGCAAACATAACAAACAACACAAACATATAGCAGATGTTTTCTTTACTAGTTAATGAAGCAAAAATAAAACATTTCTCATAGATTCATAACTTAGTCCATTAGAAAATATCTCATTCTACCATCTCCCTGGGCTGCTTTTCCATCAGTTTCGTCATGCTGTGTTTTTACATATCTGTTTGGGTGGAAAACCCCATAATAAACAGCAAGAAAAATAATCCCAAGGAAAAGAGCGAGAACTATGACGGCGCTGATAGGGATAAAATAGTCTGAATTAAAAATAGAGAGAGGATAAACCCAAAACACAGTCAAGATGCCCAGGGTGCCTAGCACCCTTACAGTATAATAGCAAGACATCGGACATTTGGTATTCTGTCCCTTGATATTAAAAAACGTAAACACGAGGATGAATCCAACAACAGTCCTATATAAGAATTCCATATGTAGAGAATTACAAAACTGAGTTTGCTTTATAAACGCCCAAATGAAACCTACGATCCAAAGAAATGACAGCAGGAGCAAAGCACCCTTCACATCCACGAAGAGCAGAAGCACCACACTCAGCATCCACGACAGCAAGGTAAACAGCTTATAGAAGAGGTATGTGAGCTTGGGCCAGAGTCCACGGAGGTGATTTTTATCAGGTAATGATTTTCTTAAAGCTATTTGATAATCGACTGTTGACCAAGAAATAGCACAGCAGGAAGCCATGATGACCGCATCTGCAAAGGAAAACACAAAAGACAGATTGGCCTATGAATGGTAACAGTAGTATCAGTAAGAACAGTAATAACAACAGTAAATTAGCTTGTACCATGCACGCTTTGGCAGTGTAGACACGCCAACACATCAGGCAGTTGGTGTATCTAATTCACTGGAGGTAGATGTTGATCCCTCCACATAGCATTAGGGGAGTCAAGGTTTGAAGAAATTTACTACTCGATTCTTAACATGCAACTATAAACTCACAGAACTGAGATTTGAAACTAAAACTGTCTGAAAGTTAATATGTTAATGAACTATATCATACTGCTTTAGAATAATCTTGAATAGATTCGGTAAATAAAACCTTTGCTAAACACTACAATTAAGCCTACCATTTTCTACACTCTTTGGCTCTAACCTTGTACACATACCTAATTCACTGAGAGATTGCTTAATGGGGTATGAGACAGTTGAACATAAAATTTAATGTAAGTATGCATCATCAACAAAAATCATTTTTCATAACCTACCGATCCATAGTCACATGAACAAATGTCCTCTGAAATTCACTAAGTTCTATAGGTTTGACATCTTTACCTAATTTCTCCCAGCAATCAGCCAAAGAAGAAGTTCATCATTGTTCTGGAAACGCAAACCATTTCCAACCCCATTGCCAAAGCAGAGGATGTTTTCAAAGCAGAAGCAAATATTTGAGAAAATCAGAATGAAGTAGTCAGAGGGTCGGAATGGCTTTGAGTCACACCCAGGGGCTGCATGTGCCTAGCCAGCTTGCCAATGGTGTCTTTCTTGCTGAGGACGAGGATGGACAGGGTCTTAGAAGCACATAGTCTCCTCTCTTGATTTTGGCACAAAACACAACGAATCTGTATTCATTTTCTCCTCCTGTTTAATTAAAATATCACTTTCCTCTAAACTTTCCAGTGACATTTTAAAATTTTTAAAAAAATCTTTCGTCTACAGGTGTTTTACCTGCATGTGCCTGATGCCCATGGAGGCCAGAAGAAGGCATTGGATCTCCTGGAACTAGAGTTAGAGATAACTGGGAGTCATCGTCTGGCTTCTGAAACCTGAACCTGGTCCTGTGCGAGAGCAGTAAGTGTTCCTATCTGCTGACCCCTCTTTCCAGGCCAAGTGTATGTTTTTGTATTTGAGCAATTTCTTTGTTTGTTTTATTTGTTTGTTTTTGTTTTTTGTGAAACATCACTGTGTAGCCCAGGGCAGTTTTGAACTCAGCATTAATCTGCCTGCCTCAGGCTTCTGAGTTGCTGGGATCACAAGTGTGCACCACCATGCCTGGCTTTAGTTTCCAAATTAACACATGCACATAGCTTTAAAAGTTCTACAAACCTTTAAAAAAAAATCAGCAGTCACTTTCTCCAGGTCCCCTGGCCACTGATCTGCAACCCCAGTCCCAGAATTCCTTAGTTTCTTGCTATGGGTGGGGCCCTATGAGAGCTCCCTTCCGTGCTAGTATATCTACTGCTGTTATACTTCTTCAGGCTTTGTTTAGGGAGCCATATTGTTGAGGTACCGTGGGTGAGACCTCCCTTGACGTCATTTCTAGGAAACATATCTCACGGCAGACTTCCTGGACCTCTGGTTCTTAGAAGAACCTGCCCGTGCTTCTGCAATGTCCCCTGAGCCTTGGGTGTGGGAGTTGTGTTGTAGATGCATCCGCTGGGCCGGGCATCTCACAATCACTTGTTCTATAACAGGGTTGTGACTTTCTATAACAGCCTCTTATCTACTGATTCTATTCTCTATTCTAAAGAGAAGTGTCTTTGATGAGGAATGAGAGCTATATATGGGTACAAGGACAAGTATTTAAAATACTGTTAGGAATTATGATGGCTTAGTAAAGTGGCAGCGGCAAGTTCTCCTTGACCTCACTAGTCCTGGGCTTGGTAGAAAATGCATGTTTTTCCTCCCACTGAGGTGGCCTTAGAGACCTTAGGATTGTCATGCCATCCTGGCTGTCGTGGTTCATAGTGTTACAGCTGGGCAGGATTATTGGCTGCTTCCCTCCCTTGGAAGCTTGCATAACAAGTTCAGAGCTACGAAAACTAGTTCTTGGTGGGGGATTGGGGGCACTTTCAAGTCAGATCCAGCCTGGAATTCCTGGTCTTTTGTTGAAAGTGCCTGCTGCCTTCAGAAATAGTACCTTAACTTCTACCTCTGGGAGGCAAACAAGGTCAACAGCAATAACCAAGACTCCCCAGACCAGCAACTTGGAAAGAGGGTTCCTCATACCTGATATTGGGGTTGTTTTTAGATAGCTGTGGTTCTTTGGGGAGCACTATTAGGCCAAGCCAACACCATAGCATGTTTTAGAAAACTTTGTCCACAATCAGGCAGCCACGGCCACAGACCGTCCATTCTGTTCCACTGGTCTACCTGTCTAGTTGTAAAAGAGAATATGCTGACTAAAAACCTTATAAACAGTTTTTGATTAAATTTGATCACATAAATATTTTCTACATCATTAAAATTTCTCTGAAAAGCCCAGTGGTGCTGGTGCATGCTTTTAATCCCAGCAATTGGGAGGCAGAGGCAGGCAGATCTCTGTGAGTTCAAGGCCAGCCTGGTCTACAAGAGCTAATTCCAGGACAGGCTCCAAAGGTCAAAGGTACAGAGAACCCCTGTCTCAAAAAAAAATTCTCTGAAAAGACTCTTCTAAGAGCTGTATGTTTTATTCTATATGTCTTTGGTAGAATTGCCATTTTTACTATGTTGATCCTCCCAACCCAAGAGCATGGGAGATTCTTCCATTTTCTAGTGTTCTCTTCAATTTCTTTCTTCAAAGCCTTAAAGTTTTTGTCAAATAGATCTTTTACTTCCTTGGTTAGAGTTACCCCAAGATACTTTATGCTATTTGTGGCTATGGTAAAAGGTGAAGTTTCTCTGATTTCCCTCTCTGCTTCTCTATCCTTTGTGTCTAGGAGGACTACTGATTTTTTCTTTTTGAGTTGATCTTGTAACCTGCCATATCACTGAAGGTATTTATCAGCTGTAGGAGTTTTTTGGTAGAGTTTTGGGGGTCACTAATGTACACTATCATATCAACTGCAAATAATGAAAGTTTGACTTCTTCCTTTCTGACTTGAATCCCCTTGATCTCCATATGTTGTCTTATTGCTATTGCTAGAACTTCAAGCACTATGTTGAAGAGATATGGTGAGAGTGGACAGCCTTGTCTTGTTCCTGATTTTAGTGGAATGGCTCTGAGTGTCTCTCCATTTAATTTGATATTAGCTGTTGGCTTGCTATATATTGCTTTTATTATATTTAGGTATGATCCTTGTATCCCTAATTTCTCCAAGACCTTTATCATAAATGGGTCTTAAATTTTGTCAAATGCTTTTTCAGCATCTAATGAAATGATCATGTGTTTTTTTTTCTTTCAGTTTATTTATATTATGGATTACATTGATAGATTTTCGTATGTTGAACCAGCCTTGCATCTCTGGGATGAAGCCTACTTGATTGTAATGGATAATTTTTTGATGTGTTCTTGAATTTGGTTTCCCAGAATTTTATTGAGAATTTTTGCATCTATGTTCATGAGCGAGATTGGTCTGTAATTTTCTTTCTTTTTTTTTTTTTTTGGAACCAGAAATTTTATTTAATCCACCTTCCTTTATTAGCATTCTAAACACTATAATCCAAATTAATCTCTTTGTGACCCAGGCTTGTGATAGGCACCATCAGCAACCAAAGAGTGACAGACCTTAGCCTATTTGTTTTTTCCAGCCCCTTTTAACCTCTAGCTGTCACCTGTCCCTTCTGGTTAATTATCTCTTAATTCTAACCCCTGTGAAATAGGGACCAAAAGTACCAACCTCAGTATTCTGAGATTTAAAGAGACGGCCCAATGGTAAATAAGTCAAGCTCTGAGGAACCTTCCAGCTCCAGTGGTTCCCACTCTCTGGTAGAGCTCCTTCTCCGGTCCTGGGCTGAGAAACCAACCACACAGCTCTAAAGACCAAGTGAGACCCTGGATGGTAAAGTGCGTGGGCTCGTGACCACCACTAGCCACATCCACCCTCAGGGCTTCCAAGGCTCATGTCCCCTGCAGATGGCTCCTGACTGGAGACTCTCAGTTCCCCTTGCCACACCTGGAACC